TCCCCAGAAGAGGGCTGCTTCTTTCTCTGATCATGTTGATTGCATACATTCTGTGAGAAATGCTGACTGGAAATAGTTGCAGCCATTTCAAATCTTAAATTCAGCTATAGTTTAAAAAAGGAGTATTACAAAAGCTCACCCATAGAGGGAAGCAGAACACTGTCGTTGCGACAGACTTTTTAACTGCAGATTCCTTTTTAAAAATTATCTGTGCTTCAACGGAAGCCAACAAAAAACATCTGTTGTCTTATTTATAGCTCCTGTTTCTAAGAAGTATATTCTGTAGCAGATGAGAAAAGTGCCTGACAACTCATAATTCATAAAGTTACTGAGGTTTAATCTGTTAGAATATTATGTACAGAATTCTACCACAGTACAGGCTGTACCACTTCCCTTCCACAGATGATAGAAGTGGGGCTTTGTGAAACATTAATAAGTGTGAAATGTGATTAGCAGATACTATTTGAAGTATTAAACTATAATGAAGGACTGTAATATTCTACAGTACTCTGCTGATTGGTAGTTTCATACCATGCAAATCTGTCTTATTTTGCTCTGCATTTCTGCAGCTAAGCTTTTCTCAAGTCAGATACATTTTTTTTTCTCCTTTCATTTGGGTTTGTTTTGTTTTAGTGTTTTTTTTTTTTGGATGATGATTAATGCTTCAGGTCTGTGACAAGCATTCATTTTTGTGTCAGAGAAAAGTAAAAAATAAAAGATTTTCTTTTTCTGAAGAATCAATACATTAAAAACTACAACTTTCAATACTGGATTAGAGTTTTCTGTTATCTATTGTTTATAGATTTTCTCATATTAATCTATATTTGCTTTGGGTTGTTTTCCTTTCACTCACAGTTTCTCCCCTTACTCTCCTTAGCCTGTACGTGCAGCTGGTGCAAGGTTATATGTGGGGAAAAGAGAGCAGATCTTTCTCACACCACCATCTTCCATCTCCCTGTGTAATCGCTGTGCACGTATTTTATCAGGCAGATCATTCCTTGCATATTTGTGCTGATAACCATGGAAAGTATCTAAGCAAAGTATTTGACTTGTCTCACAGCAGTGATTTATACAGGTGACTGTCTTTTTCCATGTATTATATGTAGCCAAGATAAGATGAAGTAATATTCAGATTTTATTCCAACCTTCATAGGTTCTGTGGGTTGGACTATAAATGGCCCAATCATAACAAACATATATTTGTCCTGTGGGAAAAATGACTGCATAAACTTATTCTGTTAAGTATCACAAGCACTATAACAACTTGCATATACTTTTTGATTTTTCTACAAAAACAAAGAAATAGTAGCTGCATATTATTGAAGAATTTTCTGATGGGAATTTAGTTAGCTGAATTTCCACCACACTTCCCAATTATACTCTAGTCAAGTCACCAGCAGACGTTATTTCTCCATTCCTTTTCAAAGCTTTGGGATCTTTGCGAAATTCTCAATAAATCTTGACTCACAGGCATTTTCCGGCCTAAATAGAAAGCTGGCTTCTTGCAAGCCCAAAGGCTAAATGCCTTGCTGGGCCAAACCATTTCTTTATCTAGCACTGAGATAGTCGTCTTTTCTCTTTGTTTCTCCTTGATCTAGCCTCCTTTTCCTGCCAAGGCCTCCGTGGTATTCTGAGTCCACAGTCTGTCTGATTGACGACATCTGATAAAAATAAAACACAAGTAATAGTTGAGAGGCCTATTTAGCCATTCATAATGGATGTATCAAATCCATCAAATGGATGTATCACCTGCCCTTCTTTCCAATATGCATCTCCCCTCAAACTTAACATTATGTTCTGAGAAGTGCTTAAATTCAGCCGTTATGAATTCCCATTTAAATTCAATATCTGCTTCAGGGAAGATAGATGATAGTGAAACAATTTTTGAATTGCTTTTCCCTGAGCCAGTACAATGTGTTAACTTCTTGATTCCTGGAATAGCAGCATCTGAAGCAAGAAAGGTCCTCCATTTCCCAGGATTTTCAGTGGTAAGCACAGAGGTTGAATTCCATGGAGAATCTGCCACTGGCCACACCTTTCATTATGCTCCTGATGATGAAAAGTACCAAACACTTCATGGTTTTGTTAGCTGACCTTGTTGGAGGTATTATCACAACTGGCCCGACAGTGACAATTACTGTTGCCTTGTTCTTCTGTGTTAATTAATGTTTGTGTTTGTTACATAGTTTATTTTACTGTTGGTGAAACCCTTCAAGCCCGAGCGCATTTCATGACTTTGACACAAGGATACGTGCAAATCTGTGAAGACATAAATTGCTATGTTAGCGGACACAGTTGCATAAATAAAGAGCATGTCTGCAGGCACATAAGCCACTTATAAACATCCTAAGATCCGTCCTCTCAGATATTAGATTTCTATACACAACTGTATTATCATTGATTGCAGTATGTATGCATAGCCTTAAATGTGCATTTCTTGAAAAAGGTTAAGACTATGCATGGAGATCTTGATTCAGAACTGCATTTGAGTACTGTTAGTATACAGTTGCTGTAAAAATATTTAGAAATCGAACTTTTTTCCGTGGTATGTGCTGTTACATTTTAAGTTATATCCTTTTATATA